CCTCACTGTCCCTCGCCGCGACGCATCGCGGTTATTCATGCTTCATTTTAGAGGATGTAACATGTAATCTGTTCTTTTGCAGCTGAACTGGCTGCACTAACTTTTTTGCATTAGTTCTCTGTTTCTCTATTTTTTATACCAAGTCACACAGCTATATATACCAAGCTACATATAGTTACAGCTATACGTGTCTTTTTAATTTCGAAAATGTTCAGCTATAAGGAACATACTTATGGAACGTAATGCGCCGACCCAAGTGCGTCATACAAGCACGAATTTCGCGCTTGTATAAACTTGATATCGAAGCCGCGGCTTTAAACGGTTATAACTCGCGAATGAATCGACATTGCGATACGAAATAAAAAGAAATCTCTTTGGTTCGCACTCCTACGCCGCTTTTTCACTGCCCATTTGGAAGAGTCGAGTACCGTGTGCCGAATAAAATATGGCAAACACGATCACGCGAGTAACAGGTAATGTTTTATTCGCTCTTTTATTCGCGATCGAATTATTCAAATTTATTTTTCGCCTATTATGATAATGACAAGATTAATTATTGTTGTGAATCGAAGTAAAATAATAGTTTTCGTGGTTATTTGCAAAATGGTAGAAAATTGTTTTGTTCAATTTCATGAGCTCTACTCACCCACGAGCATTTGTATGCGTTGTGTTAAATTAATCTAAATTAATAAAAATAAATATATAATAAAAATTTTGAACGAGATTTCATCCCAAAAAGTTTAGGAAATAATCCGTGCCATTCTATTTTGTGCGGCGGTCTGTCCCCCAAAAGGTTTAAAATAGAAAAGCGAGTTTGTAAAGCTTACCTTCAAGCCGATTCTGCTCGGTCCGAATCGGATCCTCCGGTGCGAGATCCATATCGGCCGAATCCATATCGGGGAAACAAACAACCACTTCGCCAGCTTGGGTCTGGAATAAAAAACGATTCACTTGATTAGTTACAGCGATCAAGTGGTTATTCGATCTAGATGAAATAACAATACGCGAGTTCTGACTGTATTCCTTCCAAAAACTCAAGCATAGTATTACTTTACAGGCCATTACTATACTAAGAAAAAAATACCTGGTATTTATAACTATAATCACATAGAGAAATAATTACTATAAAAATCATGATCAAGAAAACCATTTTTTGAATGAAACTCTACTTAGTTACGTTAATGATAATAACCTTATATGAATGTTACTGCTATCTCGTGTTAGAACAACCAAAAATATGGTTAGGGCAAAAAATAACTATAATTTTTAGTTAGTTCATTTATTGTTATCTCTCACTGTATACGACAATGACCCCATTGTGTTGATCGCGACGCGAGAATCGGAAATACTTATCACGCGATTGAATACTTATAACGCGATTGATTGAATAAAACTGAAAATAACGAGCAACATCGTCTTACGTCTTCAATCGCGCGTGCCGAGTATTGTTATGACTCTTGGCGGCAACTGTCAAGTACGCAATACGCTCAAAGTCGCGAATGTATCAACACACATTGTTCGTATGATTTCCTACCCGCATACAGAGTGTCAAAAATTATCGTATGATATTTTAATAGCACATTGAAACAAAGGACTATAAGAACGAGGGTTATATTCGAGTTCTTATATATACACACATGCGGAGTGTCGTTTTAATTTAAGTCGTTTAATCCGTACAGTCATACCCTCTCGGGACATCCGGACCCTGTGAAACTTCATTGTTACCTGACTAGCGAATTATGAGATAAGGGATGATACCTGTACAGTCCTAATTTGCAATTTACAGTATACGACTCCGGTAATGTTAAAGCAGAGCGATCTAATATGACGTTTCACGACAACGACGACGACGACGACGACGTGACAAAACTCTGACGTCGCTGAAGAAAATCCACCGGGAAAATCTGTCGGATTTAAGCTCGCACGAATCACGAGATAACCCATAGGGTGCAGCTAAGAAGTGTGTTTTATTATCTAGAAGTTCACGGTGTTCTGACGGACTAAAGTTTCGCTTCGTAGCGATACAATAACGATCAGCATAGTCCGTGACTCGCCCTTCCGATCGAGTACAAAGGAGATGAGATGGACCAAAGGGATCCTGACTTCCGGCGACCCCGTGAACTTACTCTTAGCGTACCGTCCCTTTCGGGCAGATCCTTCGCGCCGACGATCGCCTAACGAATCGGAAAAATCAAGTCTCCTGCGTCATCGGGTCTGCTCCTCGCTATCGCGTCGCCGTAAAATCGCGTCTAATTAACCATAAAAATAACGAGATACTCGTAGCGCCGTGCTACACAACGTCGTTGAGATCGAAAAGTTCATTATCGGGGACGCAAAATTTTTAATGCACTGGAACTGAATTATCCTCAAGCTTTTTCGCGATGTAAATTTCACAGGAATTAAACGTACGGCAGTAAATAATTAATCCGACTTGTCCGCCGGTTTACGCGTCACCCTCTTATAGTTTTCAGATGTTTTCACAATGAAGTTTCGAGCAAACGAAATGAAGTAGCGTTGTTGCTAAAAAGCAGCTCTCACGCGGGACTTAATTAGAAAGTGAGATCCCCGTTACTTTTGCAACGGGATCTTACTTTCTAATTAAGAGTAAGTAAATGCAAATTTTTCCGGCTCCCTTTTTCCGTTCCAAACTTTTTCAACCCTTTCGACGTTAAATAGCGATTAAACCTTTCGCCGTATTGTCCCTACGGGATAATCGGTATATCCGTACTTTCCTTGTTCTTTTTTCTCTTCTCTCTCTTTTTTTTTTTACTGTTTTTTCTCACGCGAGCGTAGCGCGTCGTGCGGCGTTCCCTTCGATTAATCGGAAGTGCGTTCTCTCGCAACGAGACGCACGAAACGGCGGACAAAACTTGGTCGTTAGCTTACGAGATTCGAAGCCACGGTATCGAGATAAAACGTTAATGCTGCCGGGTGAGGAGAGGGTGGCACCCTTGGCTCGAGGGTGCGTCGTCAGATTTGTCTCGTTAGAGTTCGCATTGTGCGCTTGTCTACGGTCGATTTACGCTCTCTCGTTATAGCCGTTCGCCGTCTTCCGTTGCTTTCTTGGGCCTTCTTCCTAAGACTTCTAGCCGGCCTTTTTTCCTTTCCTACGATCTAACGAGCTTCCATTAAGACCACAATGCGTTTCCCTTGTTTGTACGTGATTGACGGTATTTACCGTACCTTCTATTATATATGTACGAGGAACAGAAAAAAAAATAGAGAGAAAAGATTGGAAGAGCGAGATAGTGGAGCATGTACTGTCGGTAAATATACGCGCTTGTAAAAATATCAGAATAACGATACGAGTAAATGAGATTTATGACAGTGGGATCCAACGTGTTTCGAAATCCAGCGCAAAATTCCCTTGCCCCGATTCGCAAAAACGACGATCGACGCGCAGGCGCGCCCTACCAATTTCGAAATATATAAAATATTTTCAGGTGTATTAAAATACGATAAAGAATAATATACGGTTCTACGTGAGCTCGTGCGTTGTACACAGACGTCGCACACATTGGTAGCTTTTTTTTTTTTTTACAAAACTTTCCTTTTCCCAGGTTAAAATATACCGTACTTTCGCACTAACAAGAAAGTATCATTAGCAGGGATCGATAACCTTCGTCGAGTTTCTTGTCCCAACTTCTAAAGTTACGGCATTTAAAATTCCGTTTAAGACTCAACTTCAAAGTTTCTTCTTAGGCCGTAGAAATTACGAGCATATCGGTACTTTACTTTCGTAGATAGTATCATTAATTTAGAGCGACTCTTTTTATCCGCGATTCCATCTGCGTTGATTAGTATTTATGCGCCAGACGTTAATAATAATGGTAATAATAACGTCGCGCAGTGTGCGCATCTGTTATTTTATAACGATAAATATTTATCGCGCCGTCATTTTTCATTTCGCACATATGTGTCAGGCGTCATAAATCAGTTCGCTTTTTATCATAAATATAAAATATAATCGTAAATCGCAAATCACACAAAAGTGTTGTATTAATGTTTCAAATAAAACGCAGTCGTGTGCAATACGTCGCGTCATTAATGACACTGCGAACGCATTCTATTGTCATATTATAAAATGAACCTCTCCCGCTGTGTAAATTGTTTTCTATCTTATTTATGTCCACTCACATCACGTTAATAAAACGCGTCACCTCTAATTACGTCGACTGCAGATGACCTCGCAGCCTCACATTAAAAAGTGACGATGCAAGCTGAAGTGACGATCTTGCATGTTTCACTGCCGCGTTATAGTATATTTACAATAAATAAAGATTCCGCGCGAGGTGTATTAAAAACTCAACTAAAAAAGAAAAAATATACACGGATATTTAGAGTAAGCATGGATAGAATGCAGCGTAACTATTCTCGCGACATCACAAGGAGTATCGATAGCGTGTCTTCGTAATTCGCTTCTTGAAATTCAACACGCGTCGAACTTGCGTCGCTTTTAAGGGAGGTGCGACATTATGTGTTATGGATGTACCTCGTGTGACGTTCGGGTATGTTTGTTTCTGTCGCAGCAAGTTCCCCGGAGCCACGTAACTGCCCCTACCTGGGCAAATTCACGGTGACGGAGGTGTATCAGAGTCAACGAAACACGCGCGAGAGCCGCAAGGGCCAGCAGCATCAAGAGCCACCGTTGGCGGCGCATCACGACGGCGAGAAGGTGCGTCACGCTCAAGAGAGGAACGAAGACCGGCGAGGTCGGAAGCTGGATTACGAGGTGGAGAAACGACGGGCCAACAACGAGTACCTAGTCCACGAGAGGATGGGTCGGCGAGCGCGCTCGAATCACGGCAGCAACCGCGGCCACAAGGATTACAACGTTCTACCGGCGGAAGAGGTGTCGTCGTGGCGGTCCTCGGAGCTGGAGGACCTGCTGAGAGAGCGTTCCTCGCGATCGAAGGTCAGGAGGTCGGGCGGCGACCTGGAGAGCTCGCGGTCCAAGACGATTAGCTTGCGTCGCGTCATCGAGCACCTCGAGAAACGCGACACGAGGTACGCGGAGGATCTCGAGGGCGAAGCCGGAGAGATCAAAGAGGACGCGACGGTGAGCAAGAAAAAGACGAGAACAACGCCAAAATACATCGAGGTGGATTACAGAGAGACGATGAACAGATCGAGGAGATATCCGAAAGTCGAGGATTTTCAACCGGACGCGGATGGACAGTCGTTCTGGCCCGCCGATATCGACGATTCGTGGACCAGCAGCACGCTGCAGGTGCCTGACGATTATTTCGGAGATTATCTGGAGGCCGGTGAGAGCCTGCCGCGTAAGAGATCGGCAGAGAGTCCGGCTAACAAAGGTATGACCTATAAGGATCTTGTGAGGATGAAGAGGGAGCTCGAGGAGCATGAAAAGGACGACGACACCATGGAAAGGCGAGAGAAGAGGGACGAGGTTGACTTGAGGTGCGACTCCGAGGTGACGACCTTAACCGTGGGCTGCTCTACGGCAGACAGGATGGAGTTTCAAAGTGACTGCGTCGGCGAGAACGCGGCTATCACCGGTAATTATCTACCTTTTCTTCCTCTTCGCTGCGATCGCAGCGAGGGCCCGGCCCGTTAAACGCGCGAGCACTATACCGTGTGACGAGGGAGAATTATTTTTCAAGGCATCTCGAGCGGAGAATCCGACGCGAGTGAAGGGTGCCTTTTTAACGGAAGGGCTGGCGGTTAGGACTAGACAGGTAGACGGATAGATAGATAGATATATATATATATATATATATATATATATATATATATATATATATATATATATATATAGAGAGAGAGAGAGAGAGAGAGAGAGAGAGAAAAGGATGATAGAGTTTGATGGATTAATTCATACTAGGACAAGTTTATGAGAAGAGTAAGATTACTATCTGCCTACATTTTTGAAATTTTTGAAGCTTCAAATATAAATTTATTAATGTTTTTAAATTTACTCTATGTAAAATTGGCATCTTATTGTTACTGTTAATTCTCCGCATATAATGTTGGATCTATAAGATCCAAATAAATATTTAGTCATTCCACTTTTAAAAATCCGGAAAAATTTAAAAATAGTGCAGATCTGTTTGCAGATTTTAATTTTATTGTACTTTAATTTTATTAGTTTACAGCTAAGGCTTTTCCATATCTTTGAAAAAAATGTGTACAGAAATATTGATTTTCAACAAAGTGATAATAGTTCAAATTTACCTGGATCTGACAGATCCAGGTTGTATATTCCAAAAATATGATTGTAGATGGAAAAAATAAGATTTTAGTTGATTAAAATTTTTGAAGATCAACAAGTGGTAAATTCAGTCACTAGAATAAGAAGGAGAAACTGTCTTAAAATGTTACAAAACTGCCCCTTCCTCTTGCAGTTTTTATTACTAATATCACGTCAACTCGATCGTACGTGTCTATAGGGAACATAATTGATGACTTAAAAAGATGCATGAGCTCAACTTTTTTTAGACTCAAGGAATTTCCATTGCGCTTATACGAAGAGATAAGAACTATCTATGAAACAGTCTACGAAGAACTCAACGGAAGAGCCTCTCTCGCGAGATTTGCGCAGCTAATATTAATCGAGTCAACGTTAGTCGAAAGTCCACCGAAGACGCGACATTTATCGCGCTTGTGGAAATATCAGCCGGAGACAGTATGACGAATTCGAGTCTTTCAGCGTTAAAACGACTATATTAGCGCCCGCGCCTTATCGCGGCCAAACTCGCCCGTGTCGGCGCCCGTTTATCAATCCCGGTAATGTCGTAACTTCATTACGAAAGTCGAAGTGATACTCGAGAGCGCGCCCCTTGCTCGCGCGCGATTCCGCATTAAGATCGGGATGCCTGAATGTCTGAAAGAACCGCGAGGCACGTCCGCCCCATGGTAGACGCGCGGCCTCTCTTCCTTCCTTACTCTCTCGTCCGCGTAGATATTCTCGACCCTCGACATCGTCGAAGTTTATTTCGACGAATAATGGCACTCGAAGGGTAACGGCCTCGAGATCCGCCCGGCATCCCCCCGGCCCGTTATTATCCCGAAACTTTCTCTCCGACTCCCGTTGCTTTTCGCGAAGACCTTTGGCAGCCTCGTGTTTTCTCTCTGCTTTGCAGCCTACTCCTGCCACGGTAGATGGTTCGACGCTGAGGGCACGCAGTTCGTGATCGCCACCCCGTTGGTGCGCAGAACGGCGTGGTCGAGCGAGAACAACAGGCCGCAGCCCTACAGGAACAGCCGTAGACTGTGCTTCATGTACAAAGAGAGCGGCGGAGTTGTCAGTTTGACTGCCAGCCCCGTGGCTTGTCAGAGAGGCATCCCGCCACCCCCGCCGTTGTTGGCCTTCAACGCTACCAGCACCGGTAAGTGGCAACCTTCATTAACCCTTTCTGCCCGTAGCCGTGTCATTTTATCCCGACTGTGATAATAAACCAAGAGTGCTAAGAACGAGAGAAAGAGAGAAAGAGAAAGTACAATGTAAGCGCAATGTAGGGGAGATCGGGTCCAGAAGTCGGGGTCAGTTGTTGCAAAGCTTATATTTCACGTAATAAATGGAAGAGCATATTCTCCTCTGCATAGGTAGCTTGTATGTGTTAGGTATACGAAGTTGAATATACGAAATGGCTTATGACAGAAATATATCGCGTGTAATATTTACAAGCACTTTTTCGAAATTGAACACGGTGAATAAATATTTTTTTGTCTCTATTTTCATTGATCCGTTGGTTTTGGAATTTCTGGTTGCAATCTCTCTTTAGTTGTGAGAAATGTTATGGATTTAGCTATTTTTTTCCTGCATTTAGTTAACAGTTACTGCAAAATAATTTATAGATATAATCTTTTATTCCTAATGACCGTTCGGATTCAGTTGACTCAAATTGAGTGGGATTAACTGTCACACATTACGAGTCCGTCACGTAGCTACGTGACTTATGCAAGAGCATGGGAACATACACAGTGATGTATTATGTTATACATATCACAATAGTGAACCTACGTAAAGCTCCTGTAGATAGAGAGAGAGAGAGAGAGAGAGAGAGAGAGAGAGAGAGAGAGAGCGAGAGAGAGAGAAAGAGCTCAAAGTTATAATTACAAAATTTATGAAAATTATTATTCTTTTAATTCAATGATTATTTATTGTACCTGATAAAATGTCACTAACTTCAATAAAATACTTGAAAGCTTAAAACAGAAATAATTTCTCTTGTTTTTTTTTTACAAGAGACACATGTAATAATCGATATGGGGTGAATGGGGTCACATTTGCATGACTTTGCCTATATTTTAATAATTTTTTCGGATACAAATATATATAAGAATATTTTTTTTATTTATCTAAAAGTTGTATCTATATGTGAAAATGTGCACAATATTAAAAAATATTGCATATATATTTTTTCTTTAAATTAATATGTAGAAAAATGTGACAACTAGACCAGGCTCTGCACGCCGTTCAAACACGTCGCGTCGAGAGTATGCCGATAATTCGATAATCTCATACTTTATTTTTTCGGCGAAACTTTAGCATCGTTCACTTGGCTAATTTCCGATCGTTTCTCCCGCTTCACGCAAAACGATTGAATAACATTCCAGTGTATTCTACTCGATCGAAGCGACGAGGGTTGAAGTTTGCGAATTCACGGACAGTCGTGTCCGAGCCGGGAAGAAACGACGAGAAATTGTCCGTCCTGCCGCGTAACGGTCCAACATACCCCAATAACTTCCCCGGTGACATCAGGCTGCGCCATCCAATCGAAATCGCAGAGTCAGCGATTGTCATCCATTGCGTCGCTTGAAATCTCGTCGCTGGGAGTGCGTGACAGCCACGCATAATTTGGCGCGACACTCGCGCCGGCTCCCTGTGACAAATAGACTGCGACAGCGCGTTGATAAACGCTGAATTATGCGTCGCTGGACCTAAGGCTATCTCGTAGGCGCGAAGTAACCGTTAAATATGGCGGATATATTATCCTCGCATTAATTAGGTTATTCATCTCACTCTGGCGGCCTTGATCTTATTCGGATATGTGTGTATCCTATACGTATAATAACTATGATTTACCGCTTGAGGTTTAGTCAAGATAACGAGCGAGAAATCTATTCTTATCTTCTCACATGTGAACGCACGTGCGATAACAATATTTTCGTATAATGCTAAGAATTCGTCACATCTGTCGTTTCAGGTCAATGCATGAAAGCGAAAGGCGGGCGGATCGGCCGACCGACGTACCTGACGATCGTCCTGCTGACGGCGGTCGCTGCGATATTTAGGTGATTCTAATCGAAAGCATGACCTACTCAAAATCAGCCAAGGACGTGACTCAACAGCGGTGTCGGACACTCACGAGGGATACTCCTGACGCGAAGTTTGGTCGCGGCGCGACGCCATAAGACCGGCGGTCGATGGTGCGCCCGAGCTAACGCTAACGGGGGAGAAGCTGAAGAGGGCGAAGAGAGTGCGATTTTCGGCCGCAAATGAGGAAGAGACGCGGGAGAAGACAGGAGAAGCCGTCGACAGGTTCGGATGCATTCGTGTTCGCGGCTTCTGTTAGTTTCTTCGAGCTGTCGGGAGAAATTCGCGCTCGTGCGATCGTCGTATGGGGAGCGAGCGAGCGAGAAAGCAGCCACCAACCACTCCCTCGTCGTCGTCGTTGTCGTCGTCGTCGTCGTCGTCGTCGTCATCGCCGTCATCGCCGCGGAGAATCGGACGGATAAGAATAGGAAGAGGAGGAACGACGTAAATCAGTGATCGCCGAGTTCTCGAGATCGACGCTCCCGGCTCCTTCGATCTCGAGGAGAGGAATTGGGCAGGAGCGTGGTTTGTAAACGGACAATTTGCGACGGTAACGTGCGCGAGCCGAGAGCGATGAGGGGAGATCGAGCGTGAGTTTTCCCTGGCCAGTAGCTTTTTTTACCGGATGTAGGGCGCGTTAGGCACTAGCTAATTGAAGTCGGGTAACGCGAAAGAGTTATTAAGCGATTTTTATGGTTAGACCATATCACAATAACGGTGTCGCGACGATCGGCGTGAGTCTCGAGATCAAGGACAAAGGACGCGATTCGTCAGAGGATCGATCGTCAAAGTCCTCTCTCGTTCTAGCCAGTAAGAAGCGCGATTGTTACTTTTTAAGACGGACACAAAGAGAGCAAGAAAGAAGGAAGAGAGGGAAGGGAGAAAGAGAGATACTATATGAAGAGACTATATCCCCTCGATAAGTGCAAAAAAGGCGAGAGAGCATGTACTTGGTAAATATTTTCTTCGCCGGGCGAACGCTCATTTCTTTGCTCATTCTCGGACACGTACCCTTTCAATAACTACCGAGTAATCGACGACACCTAATAATTATATCGATAATTACATGTAATTACTCGCGGTGAGTACCACGCCGTCGTTCTTCGAGCGAGAGCTCCTCGCCTCGATCTGACGAAGGATAAAGGAAAGTGCGATCGCCGGTGAGCTGTTCGGTGAGAAGCAGCGGATGACGAGTGACGAGCGATGCATCGCGTACAGATGAAAGAACAGAGCCCTAATTTTAGGTGGCACAATATGATAAATGGGTCGTGTTACTTTCTGCCGTGGATTAGCCGAGGATCGAGAAGGTGGAGAAAGATCGTCAGACGTGGCGAGGAACACGCAGGAAGGATAACAATGGTCTTGCGCAAAAGAAATCTACGCAAAAGAAGTCTTGAGCAAAAGAAATCTACGCGCGAGACATGTAAAGTCATTTTGGATAAAGATAGTTACGTCATCACGGTGATGAATTGGAGATGCCGCGGCTTCTTCTCCTGCCTGATCTCTCGTGGATTTTCGCCTTCACCTGGCTCCAATTCTGAGCGGCACCGATGTGCGCTAGTGTGCCTCTTCGGGATCCACGATTCACCGCACTTTTCTTTATTCACGCGTCGAGAGTCCGCCGAGAAATCGCGATGCGTCCTTCCGCGCGGAAGGCAGAGACGAACGATCTCTCGATGCAACGTTTTCGCCTCTTTCCGTATGTGATCACCTGACTCTAAGTTCCAGTAAGTTCCAATTGTTCAAGACGGTTTCTCGGAGGATCGCGCGCGACACGTCATAGTGACAGGCGAATCCGACGGGGTCTTGGTTTCGCAAGAGCGATCGGTTGGTGGGATCGCGACGGGATATGTGCACGGACGACGTTTCTCCGACGAGCCTCTTCGGCGCGAACGTTAACGTAAGCAATAAGCAATAAAGACACACGACATGTCATACAGAGGACACGCGCGCACAGACAGGAACACATACATATACACATGTACGCGGCAGTGGCACGCTCGGGAGGGAGAACGGTGATAACGAGGAGGATTTCGCGCGGATATATCGGAGGTATCGAGCGCGGAAACGTTAATCCGAAGCAACTCCATTAATCAGTTCCGATTCTCGCGATTAGTGACGAGGAGGAAGGCCGAACGCGACGTGTAGGAGACGCTATGATATTATTGTAACTAATACAGAGTCTATATATTATATTATTGTACAACCATCTTTGTAATAATTAAGTCGTAATCGAGTGACGAGAGAAGTGTAGAGGGGGGAGGGGGGAAAGACAAACCAAAGAAAAAGTTAGGGATGGCAGTGAGAAAGAAACGAGCGTGAGTGTATGTAAGAGGGGATGCGTGCACGTGTGTGAAAGATAAAGAGAAAGTGCGAGAATGAGAGAAAGAAAGATAGAGAGAGGGTGGGGGAGAGAAAAGAGAGGGGGCAAGAAAAAGAGCGAACCATAGAAGAAGCCAATCGCTATTTTAGCACTTTTTCAATCGCGTTGTACGTAGTTTCTACGCCGATTACGATTTTCGTCGGATTTCATTTGAGCAGTCAGCGACGCTGACGAGACCGATCCTTGAGGAAGGAAACCAAGCTCGACGGACGCGAGGAGGATGTCCCGACCGGACCGAGTCACTCGTCATTCGTTCAACGCTTAATTAAATATTTCTACCTCGATTATATAATACAGTGATATTCTTCCAGGAATTTGGCCGGAGCTCGCGTTAATCGCGCGCTATCATCTTTGCGTCCGCGCCACCGATCGACCGTCCATCGTCAGGACGTTATCCGTCGCGTGCCGTTTTACGTTTTGGCGCTCGCTCAAGGATCCCTCTTGGCCGGCGCGCTTCGTCGGGCAAAATAACGTCTCCGTTTCAGGGTTCTCAGAAGAGAAGGATCGATCGACTTTTCGTTGTCCTCCCTTAAACGGGTATTACGCCCGCGGTACGCACCGTACCCGGCGGACATTGCTCGTCCGTCAGTAACGCACAGCAACCGTGATTGGCGCGTGCCGCGCGAGTGGCGCGTTCTCATTTTTTCACCAACAGGTAGGACTACTTAGACTACTTAGGACACTTAGCGGTTAGCACACTTAGAAAAAGCTATAATGTACCTACGAGTGCAGCGTATATTAGCGTATACACCGACGAAGTAGATAAGATCGAGTCTAGCCGTTAAGACTTCTCTAGCTTCTTAGGGATAATAAGCTCATTGTGACAGCAATCAGACGACGGTGCCCCGCGGTCGAACCACGACACGGTACAATCTCCACAATCCCCGATCGTCTCCACGATCGTTCAATCTCGCGTCCGACGACGCGTTCCGTGATAACTCTCGAGATCTCGACGGAGCGACGGAGCGTGCGACCGTCACGCTGAGGAAACGAGACTGTACGAATTTTCGCGACGCAACAGCGATTTAACCCGCTCCTTCGAGAATTTTACGAAAATCAGGCGAGATTTAATGTCGGTCCTCTCGGAAGACGAATTTTCTCTCGAAGGAGCGAGTCGCGGACCGTCGTGTACTCCCCTCCCGGCCCCCGTTGATTTGTGGCGGGAAATAGCGTGCGAAAAATCGCGGCGTGTTCCGAGCATCGCTCAATAGTGGCGAACGAGCGAGACGTATTAATTGCGAAGTATGGAGTCTAATGGAATTGTTGTGCGCGGATGAGTGCGTCGAATTAGGTTTATGCACCGAGTGATGTCCGCGACTATACAGCCAACCTGCTCTAGAATAGATCCCGATTGTTACTAGCGGTTTGTCGTGCTCGACGAGAAGAATAAACGTTTATTTTCCTTCAGACAGTGAATTGTCAAAACGCGAATATTCGCGTTGACCCGAAATCATTTATATCTCGTGTGTGTTGCGGCGGATTTCTTAAATTATCCCACCTACATTGTGCCGGAGAAAACAAGACAAAGACGCGCGAGTATAAACATATTTCGATCGCATATATATACATGTTTTGTTTTCATATACTTCTGTTTGCTTTCCATGACTTTCGTTACGCGAAGGCTATGGAATGCACGCAATAATCAGGTTAACTGGCGCTGGACGCAAATAAAAACGCGGAAGAAGGATTCGCGATACTAAAGAAAGAACGAAAATGACAATCCGAACGCTGCTGCGGCGCGTTTCACCTCATGACTCTTCTCAATTCTGATTGTTTACATTTGAGATTGAGTATTGTTTTAGAACAACTCGTTGACGAGCTGCTGCATTTCGTTATTCTCCGACGATTTAATTCGGCATATCACCTCCGTGAAGAAGAAAATACCTTCATAGCACAGGAAACGGTGAAATATTTCGATCATCGGTCGTAAATAATCTGTTTTCCTTGGAGGAATATTTATACGTCACACAATAACGAAAGACGCGAGATCGTAACCTGTACGAACGAACGCTCGAATATTCTATTATTTTCGATTTGCCCGACGCAAACAACGTCGAGGGATTCGATAATTATCGGAGCATCCCCAAACATCGTTACCAACCAACCGCCTCCGCTCGCGCCTGCCGCTTCCACCCTCTCACTATCTCTCTCTCTCCCTCCCCTCCTCTCTCTCTCTCTCTCTCTCCCTTTTCCTCTCGCGCGCTATCTGTTCATCTCTCTTGCCAAACATTATGCGCGTCGCTTAATGAGATTGATGCAATCGTCCGATGCATTTAATCCTGCCAATTTACATTGCGTCCTAATATCGTGCGCGAGCATTTCGCTAATGGAGTCGCTAATGAGAAACAGAAACATCCTCTCCGCGTGTTGTTTTCGATAGATTAGACAATCGCCAGCAGAAAATTGCTATCGACACTCTCTCTCGTCTCCCGCCCCGAGAAAATTCACACCTCGTTCATATTCCGTGATTGTTTGATTTTCATCCTTCCGCATGACAATTGTGCGATGCTTTGAGATATACGAGAAAAATGTTATAGTAAAAATTACAACAGAATTTTCTTTTTATAATCTTGGACTATAGAAAGACTGTGACTGAAATTGATATATATTTACTTAAAAGTATCACGCGAGTTTATCTTTTTTTTTATAAAATTATTGTAATTACTTGAACGTTTTATTGCATAATATGACTAAATTTTATTACAGTAAAGAAGAAATTTTGCAATTTTTATGCAAATATTGAATACAGAAGCAGCATGTTATACTACATTTATAACGAAAATTGCAATACATGAATATTAAATTAGTAAATTTTAAGATACAACTCATTGGGCTACAAGTATTATTTATATTTATAATTTTTAATCCCATAGCACATAGCCTAATTTAAAATAAACATTGCAATATTTATATAGTGATATTTATAGCTTCGGAACTGGCGTTATTGCTGGCTTTCTCATTAGATAACTTTAATATCTCATTAGATGATATCTCTCCCTCAAAGTCAAATTCTATAAACCATCCAATATTGCCGTATCTGTATCGAGATTTGTATCATAATCGGCCAAGTGTGGATAGGGGGTGCCGTATAAAAAATTAATACGGTGATACGCTATGGCCATGATCGACCTGAGTCGGTATTTTGCCATCACATCAAAGAAACGATACGCGATAAGAACACAGTCAGTGTGAATGCTATTTATCTCATAATCCCGCATAAAAACAATGTTCAATTAAAGATATTGGTGTATTATGAATAAAAAAATAAAAAAGATATACACATCAAAGATACAAATACGACATACAGATACGAATTGAAAACTAAATCTCATCATAGTATCATAATACTCTATCAATATCATGATCTAATACGCGATATGGTTAGGTTGCAGCCGCACGCCGCTGCAAGGTTACGATGCAAGTCTGAATATATCTTAAGTACACGTAACCGATTCAAGAAATTGATTAAATAATTATCTACGATACACACATGAAGATCCTCAACAATTTCTGGTTTTTTCCTTCACTACAATCTCAACAAAAATTGATTGATTGAATCATTTTCATATGTATATCTGCGCCACGAGATACAACTGACAATCTGTGTTGTAGTTAGCAACATATCTCTTGATATTTGTACAATATACTACAACGTTGGTATGGTTTAGTGCAGTTTTACGAAAAATATTGTAAAAAGAAACATATTTTTTAATGTAATTTTTACTACATTTTCCTCGTATACATATTATAGGAATCTCTATCGACATCTTATCGATTATACGATACGACTGCGAAGTATATGGGATCCATCCATCTGACGTGTAGAAAGTCGATTTAAAAAACTAAATCTTGAAGAAAAGAAAAATGTCGAAACGAGCCCTTGCTACTTATTTTCACCGCCAAAATCATTTAATTTGCGCTTTTGTATCCTCGGAAATCGCGTATTAACGGGGAAAAATTCGAGTTTCAAGGTGCCCTCGAAAACTTCTCGTTTGATTGTGTCCCGTTTAACAAGACAAATTCACGGTTTGTTCCTAACAGCTTGCATTCGTTCGAATGCAAGCAACGCTCGACGAAGCTCACCGGTGCACAATCTCCGGCCGATAAGACGCGCTTCGCGAAAGCGCGCGCGGTTGATTTCACCGCAGTGCGGATGTGGCTTCGAAACCGATGTGAATACCGAACCAGGATTAGAGCACGTTTAACCGTTCGGGCCGGCGCGGCGGGCTGGCGATTAATGATTTTATGGAAGCCCGTCTAATGGGATTATCGGATTACTCCCATGCCGGTACGAGTGTTCGCGCGCGCGCGCGCGGTTTATTACTCCCTGCGCTGCGGATTATACATTCTCATTCTTGAGATCACGATATCCTGATGTTAGCCCTCAAGATTCCGGATGCGTTCTTCGAACACAGAGTTGCAGCGAGGTCAATCTCATTGACGAATTTTGGACGACGCGAACGCGACGTCGAAACGTCGACTCGCTGCTCCAACAAATCGGTCGCACTTTGAAGACAGCGTGAGAATCTCAAGTGGGTCTTTGTCTTTCTCCCTACTCTTTCTAAGGAGGGGCGAAGTGACACGCGGAAGTACTCGCAATTTATATCGTCATAAAAAAATATTTACGATTATAACTGTCCGGTCTCGCGATATCACTAAACACGCGACGCTTTATTTCATACAGCTTCCGGAAATGGATCCGTCGACTTTCCGCGCCCCTGGATCGATAGTCCGATAAAATTCTGCCCGCCCGGCCGTTCGAAAACAATCCACGCTTATTTCCCTTCGTGAAGCTCTTTGTATATACCCTTCTATTCTTGTTGAAATCGCGCGCATATCCGGCCTGCGAAAAGATGAAAAGAGTGTCGGGGATATCCGGCCCGCCGCGAGACGACTCGCATCGACGTGCATCGCGTCAACCCTTCGTTATCAAAAATGATCCATCGTCGAAAGGTCACCGCAAGAGATGCAGGGAGAGCGAGAGAGAAAGAAAGAGAAAGAATCTATATAAAAACTGATAAAATCTAGCCACTGAGCAGCGAACTATAAAAAAAAAACTTATAGATTAATTACAATATTCATCGTCCCAATGTGAAAAAATATTTCTGTTTAAAAAACTGCAGCCAAACTAAATTTCCAAAAACCGGACGAAAATTAACATGGATTGCGTGATTGGTGTTAAAATTTACTCATAAACAGAGAAACCATCGTAGTAAAAATTACAATAATTTTTTTTGTTTTAGTTATAGTATAATTATAAAAAAATTACAGAAAAACATTTTTGCAAAAAAATAATTTCAACGTAACTTTTACCACAATATTTCCTCTGTGTATAAATATCGCTTCTTGGTTACGTAACAATGTATATCGCGTGAAATAAGGAAAGAGTTCACTTTAGCGTTTCGGCTGCTCGATTACATTACCGCTCGAGAGACATTCGAAGATGATTAGAGCCCGAAAAACGACCTATTCGCCTCTGATATATATCGGTCCTGTCCATGAGGGCACACGCGCCGTCCGCGACTTGAAAACCGTCGTTGTCCGGAGATTAGAGTGCCTCCGGTGCCATATGGGGAAACGGCGAAACTTCCCCCAATCTGTAGAAGGTAACGACTCCCGCGTGTGTGCGGATGAGAGCCGCGATGCGTCTCGATTACGAGTACAAGGGGGAAGAAAAATGCGACTCGCTGATAGCCCGCGTTTTTCACGGCTCAGATGCCGGAAAGTTCTTAAGCGTCATTGTGCCGCGGATTTAACCCTCCGCAGTGGTGGACGCGAGCGGTGGGCGAACTCTTTCCAATATCGTGCCAAGAAAATTCTGATCCTCGCATTTGCCGCGTGCCCAGCTCGAAGAAGGTATTTTATTAACTCGTCCCGTCACACGCATGAATAACGTTAGCTGACGAATTCGAAACGCGTGAGTAGAGAGTCTCTTATTTCTCATTTATTAGATGTGTGCGAACGCATGTGCGCGTTCGAGACGTCGGGAGATGTACTCTTCCTGTTTCCTTTCTCTTTATTTTTTTCTAAAAAATCGCATCACTACAAGGGATGTTGTCCTTTCCTTTCCCTCTTCGCGACGTGTCTACCTGACAAACGCGAAAGTCGCCAAGACAAGGCAGAAATTGATTAGTTCCCGTTACCGCGCCACTTTCCAAACGCGACGTCACCCTCCAAAGAAACACAACGTCGTCCCCACAGGGAGTCGACATAAAAAATACGGTCTCTCCGAACACGCGGAATATAGCTGCGCCACGAGACATTCGCAAACTCGGAACACGCCGTCGCCGCCTCCCTCCCGAATAGTCGCACCCTCCGTCGTCCTCGAGGACGTTTTCAATCAAGGGACAATCATCCCTCGACGAGCAATCGAAGTTCTATCGGATCACCCCGCCGTTTCGTCCTGCGCGACGAGACACGCGACTAGATTCGTCCCCCTCCCCTTTTCCTACCACACATGTCCTTATTCGAACAACGACAGGAATAACTTCCGCCACCCTCTCGGCGATGGCCGCCGAATGCACGTACGACAAGTGTGAGAGGTCTCGCGGGAGAGGTGTAATAACAATAACGCCACCCTGTGTGTATCTCGAACAAGATTGACTAATGCCCCGGCGTAAGTGATTGGTTCCGATATTAATTCCGATATTGGTTCCTTCATATTGATCTCAACAAATTATTTCCACCGCGTTCAGATTTTTATTAATGTTTTTGTCAGTGAGAGAAATGAGATCTTTTCACTGTTGATAATTTATTTATTATTATTGCTCACTATTATTATTATTATTATTATTATTATTACTTGTTTCTCTGTACTAGTCCCTTTTGCTTTTTTGTAAATGAGATGAACACAAGCTCGTTATAATTTATATGCATTGTATTTCTCGTTGAAATATAACTTATTTTATTTTGGATGATTTTTTATCTCAGATTTAATTTACTGAGTGCGTTGTTGTTGCGAGAAATTAGAAGAGGAAATACACATTTTTGAGATCAGCATGAGGGACTGATTCGACATTAAGAATCTCGCGCAGGGTGCGCGGTCAGCGCGACCAAAATAGGTCATTGGAGTGCGTCATGCGCGTATATCAAGATTTCGGCATATGTATATAAATGTAATACTTGGTGTGTGCACATATTATGCGGTTGCGTCGAACGACCACGCATGTTCGACAAGCGCGAGTGTATAGCGAGCATGAGAACCGCGGGGTAATCTGTAAAAGAAAGCGACGTGAACCACCGTCGCTCGGTATTCCGTTCTCGTACGCTGAAATCCGGCGATTGGATCGAAATGGATTATTCAGTACGAATAGTTGGGGCGGAATCGAAAATCTGCTATTCTGATATTAGCGCGAAATTTCGACAATGCGCTGTAACGCGAGGAAGATCACCATCGAGAGCGGGTGATCCTGTTTCGCGGGAATAATGCACAGTGAAATGCGGTGCAACGATTTAAAATTTCTCAACGTTTTACGATAGAGCAAGAATTGATAAAATCAGAAAAGAAAAACACACATAATATATCGGACAAATTCTCGGAAATATAAAAGTAAAGTAAATAAATTTTACAAATCACGAATAAATTTTGCATACGGGTTCTCATATTTCCGTCATCTTGTTTTCGCGAGCACGGTTTTACGATACTCCTGTTACTTTATTCATCTCCCGTGGACTGCTGTTACGTTTAACCGACTCGGAATGATATAAGGAGATAAATGGAGGGTCAGATCGCCCCCAATTTTCGCGCTGGATAATCTATCGCAGGCTCGTCAAGAAGTTCCGCCATTGGCGCGACGAGAGGAAACTGGATACATGATCGCTTCGAATTTGCATACTCTCTCGTAGCGTAGACCTCATTCGCTTACGCCAATTGTCGAAGTAAAGCGGCGACGATCGGCAATCGTTGTCGCAACGCAAGCAGTTTCCCGAGTGATTTGCTTCTCTCTTCCGAACCAAATTCAGGTCACAAATGAGCAACCGGAAGGTCCCTTTCTCTGTGTTTGCTGAATACAGTTTATATCGTATATTCATGGAAATGTCGAAGCGGCATTAATAATGGAACAAGCGACTTTCCTGCTGACAAACATAACACAAACGTAATAAGAATCCGCTCAAAGGTATCTGATACGATAATAACGAATGATGTAAAAGCCTGTCTATCTTTACGACTTTAATATAAATCCAAGATACGAGTACGTTATGGACGATCGATGAGATTCGCGAAAAAATTCCGTTTCTTCGTTCCTAATGATTTATAGCGACGATTTTTCGTTGCAGAGATAAAAAAACAATGTCTTGTGTGGAGCCTTATTAATCTGCAATATCGGAGAGATTAAACACGAACTATGATCTCGAATGAGCTTACATTTTCGAGGTAGACACCGTGCGTATCGATTTCTATCGAATACGGGTACCGAGTCGGCCTTTTCACACGCGCGAACGCGAAACGAGCACGTCGGTGCCATTTACGGTCTCACAATTTTCCGCCACCTTGGCTGCCGTTTCTCCTCCGGCTTTAATCGCTTTGCACGACATCGTCCCGACAATACGAATTGATGATCGAATGTAAAATCGATCGTTCACGTTTCGCGTGCCGAATATTCGACTCAACCGAGTCCATTAAGAACGCACATTACGTACCATGTCTGACACTTTAAATCGAGCGGCTCGATTATACATGTATACGTACATATATATATATATATATATATATCGTAATCGTACGTAACGAACAATCACGGATACGGCAACTCGTTACTGACGAAACAGTCCGCGAAATGAGGAAAAGTAATATTTTATATTATCTCCGCTTACACAAACAGAAAAAATCTCAGTTCGTGCTTCGTCTCGGTGCACGAACTTTTTTTCATATTTATCCCCACTTTGTATTTTTAGCTTCCGACGAATCTTTGGACGAACGTTTAATCGCGAGTATCCGTGCGCTATTCTCAGTGAGCTCATCTCTTCTACGTGACTACGATATTGATTAAATAACTAAACATCGCATCAGCTATCATGATCCAATTATCCTCGAAGCGCGACACTGTTCAACAGCGGCACGGAAAACAATATCGAGCGCAGCGTGGAATGAAGTTTGGCAATGAGATTGGCGAAAAAAAAATACGATTTAGTAGTTTGTCGTATGAATGGTAAAAGCAATACTGAGTACGTGGACGCGTGCATGATATTACGATGTAATAGCGTGTAAATCGTGAGAAAAGAAGGATACGTGTGTAAGCTACTTGTGCCTTGTAACAAACTATATATGTATATGTATATACGCAACACACGAGGGAAGAAAACCGTAAATATACATTATATATAAATATATGGATACACGCGACATACAAACACACAAAAACACATATACACACAACTAATCACGCGCACAAAAGAAACATAAAACAAACGAATGAGAGACACACTCTTACGATAAGCTATTTAAACAATCGTTGCCGTCTCTTCTGAAACAAAAACCCCCTCTCAGAATTTCATTGCAGCGCCCGCAGAGAGAAAGAGAGAGAGAGAGAGAGAGAGAGAGAGAGAGAGAGAGAAACGGAGTAAATGATGAGAGAAGAAAAAAGAAATGAAAAAAAGAAGATATGTTGTTGAATAAAATAGCAATAATCGAATTTCAGACTGAATTATGATTGAATATTATACCGCAAGTCTTTGTTGTCGCGGCGGCGACGCGCGAGCGTGTTAATTATTATAAATACTGTTACACAGTGTCTTGCTACAACTGGGGAGATTAAAATAAAATCTCGAAGCTCGATATTGGGGACTTGTTCTTCAGCCAGCGAGGATCCTAGCCATAATACCTCGAGTTTTCTCTCGTCAGCTGCGCGAGAATGGAATCGGACTTTTGCGAATTCTACCCGCGTATAAATACATGTCGACATACGAGCGATAAGAGAGAGCCATACCTGAACATCGAGTCTCGATTGTTAGTAGCGATTATATTATGACACACGATCTCTAATGGGTTAAATGTCGCAACAGCTTTTCGCGGACAGAACCGGGAAGGAATATCGATACGGTCGGAATTGGCGTTTCTTCGACTTCGGCTGTGGAGGAACGATAACCCGCGATCGACTCTTTTTCTCGCTCCTGCCACAGCGAATTTATCGCCGGCCGTTGTTGCGTTGCGAGCAACCAATTGGCGAAGAGCGATGCCCCTTTTTGATTTAAGGTCTCTCTTTCTTTACGATCGCAGTCGACTGTCTCGCACGGCTAACAGCGATGCACGGACATAAATTCTTTCTGCCGGCTGGCTGGCACGTGGCAAGATCGAGATTCGGTGTGCGGGTTTCCGCCGTTATTTACTGCCATTCGCACGGACCGAAGGAGGAGGAGGAGGAGGTGGAGCAGGAGAAGGGGATGTAGGAGGAGGCTGCTTTTGATGGATGTCGCAAGATAAGTACTTTGTCTTCGAGACCGTTTTGTAATTTAATGAAAACGTGAGAACAACGGATCTTTTTCCCACACCAACGGTGTGTACAAGGTGTCTGATGCAAGATATACAAAACCAGGTGTAAAGATAGAGCACGTCAATCTGAGTACCCCGAGGACCTGGCATTTTACAAACAACCAGGTGACATTTCAAGATATTAAAAAGAAAAGAAGGTTGGCGAAACAGAGCATTGTAGACGAGCTCTGTTAGCTCGATGATCTCATCGAGAATAGTTGACTGTTTTTTAGTGACACGCGTATGACACGCTCGCGATACGTCGAAAAACAATTGTCTCAATTGAAAAAAATGATTACTCCGTTGTCAGCTGTCAGCCAATATTCACCCATGCTAAGAGGCAATCGCGTTTCAGCCATTTTCAATGAGATCTCGCACTTATAACTCCGTTGCACAACATCTCGCGCTCTAATTCGTCAATCTTTTTTCATTTCATAATCTCATTTCGTAATTTAATTTCATAATTTTACGTGGTTGTTTGCAAAATACAGAGAGTTTTTGTGTTTTTTTAAGTTGACGTGTGAGAACCCTTCACACGTGGCTTTGCATGTGTCTTGCGTCAAATATCCTGTACACACGTCGTCGCGAATTGTGTCTCGTGGTGCATCTCGTCGACGCATCTCGCGCGTCGAGGCGTCGAGGAGAAATTCAGCCGCGGCTGATGTATCATCAGCGTTTCGTGGGTTTAAAATGTAAATCCTACACGTATGCGCTTTTACACGGACACATAAACGTGGAGTTGCGCGAAAAGTAACTCCAGAGCTTCCTTTTCCTCGAAAATTTACGATGTTCGAGACGCGAGAACTACTGGCGCGCGTTGAACGTATCGCACAAAGTGTTTGTTGCTGGATAAAAAGGAAAGAAAAGAGAAAGAGTTATTAATTCCGTAAGCCAAACGTATTTCTGCACACGTGGAATATTCGCGCGTATTCCGTAATTCCTGTAGAAGCAAATGCGGCAGCGACTCTCCACGAGAAAGCCATGGATCGCTTGCTCAGCGTGTTACACAAAAGAAACGAGACTGCCCGCGCTCGTATCAGCATTTTATCACCCATACGATCGACATTACCCCTTTTCACAGCGCGACACGAACTCCCTTTCCGCGCGGCCGACTGTGTTTCACCGCGCTAGATCGATTACCACTTACACGCGGATGTATATAATTCCGTACATGACAATCTGTTGTTACATCTTATCCCGTGACAACTATCGATCGCGTTAATACATAAGGACTCCCCCGTTAACGCCGGATTTTTTAACATACGAATCCCTCGCGAAACTGTCCTGAGAAATTGAATTAGAGGAACGATTGTCACACAACGTCGAAATTTATTCGTCGCGCGAATTTTAACGAAATAGAGGAGAGATTGTAATAACATGCACAAGATGAAAATGTTTTTCAAAAGTGTTTTGAATGTAGAAAACGCGCGCGCACAATAATTAAAACCAAAAAACCATCCCATGATTATTTATTTTTTAGATTTTTACAAGTATTGCTGATATTTGTTTATGTACAGAGACGTACGCTATGGTGTTTTTGTTTATTTTCGTTTGCCGATATACTATCTTTTATTAAAAGATTATTAATCTTTTCGATATCCATTATTTTTAGTGTATCGTAGACTCATCAATTTAATAAGGCAAAGATTTAATATAGATCTACATTTATTATTTGTGTGAATAAAAAATCTTAGACGCGCTTTTCCATTTAAAGTTATATTAATTTATAGTGAAGTCATCAACTAAGGTAGATTTCACAATAATGAACGCCAATGTTACCGACATAGGGTTGGGATTGAATTTTTGCGGGATGGGAGTGTAGGGGGAGAGAACCTGCTATATACTCATACATATATTGTTGTCACATACATATTAGCGAATAACGTATTTCAGCAGCAAGATTAACTAGTATGTTTTTGTTAGTAACTTACTAATTTTTAAAATATTAATTATTTTAATTTAATGTGATTTAATCTAATTTAATCCTTAAAAATATTTTTGTTAGTAACTTTCTAATAAACAATGAGTGCGGGATAAAACGTTTTGAGGATTACGTTTTGAGGGTCACGAACTCGACAACATATTCTGACTAAATCGCGTCGCTAAATCTTGCCGAAATAAATATTAAAAGTGGCCGAACGATATGACCTCGTTTTTTTCCTATCTTTTTCGATTAATCCGAAATGTATTGGAATCGACGATCGGCGAAAGAATCAATCCCGAATAACGATCCTGATACGCGCGAGTATAATTTTCGAGAAATGCGCGCGCGCGCGCGCGCATTTTGTGCCGCTGCGTTCGTTCGGCGTTCGCGTAGAAATAAATGATGATAACCAAAGGTGCTATCATCGTCAGCGTCATTGATTAAAATATGGTGCGCGTTTTATTATGAGATTCTCGCGTTGCACGTTTTATGAGCACCTCCGTATTGATCGACAACGATAATAAATGAATGGAGCACAATGTGCGCGCGAAAGACAATACAGTTTCTGGAAATTTAACCCCGCAATAACGACGCGCTCTTTTCATTCCGCGGAATTTAATTACAATCTTCCGCGAGACAATAATTAGGTTGCGGTACAAGGAGATTCTCATGGGCGCTCGATAATATTCATTTATAAAACGCTGCGTGGCATTGTATTACGTTCATTAACGAGCATTTATCGAGTTTTCTGTTAACTGACGTGCCACGAATATTTCTCGAAAACCACGCTCGGCCATTATTATCGCAGATGACGTGTGTGAATACATTTACTTATTAGCACGCGATATTTACGCAAATATAATTTTGCCTCGCATAATTTTGACTATCTGCGTTTTATCCTTAACTAAATTCAATCGTTAATATGTGCAATTTTTCTGTTTAACTTTTGAGATAATGTAAAAATTCATACATTTAGGAATAATACGGAAATCGTATCTTTTTACAAATTCATACTATTTCTCTGGCAATATATTGCGATTACACGACTATTCTGTCGATTGGACGCTCAATTATATGATAGTTAATTAATATGATTTCATATAAAGCGCACAAGTCAGCCAAAAAATATATATTTCCCGTGTCCTTTTATACGAGATATACCCCGCGCAATGTTGGTTATCATCAATTCCTCTCTCAAATAAAAAAAAAGTCGCGTTTCAAAGAGCAGAATGTTGGCGTGCGAGAAAGACGTTTTGGAATTTCATCAAATATGACTGTGCGGGTAAATAATGCGGGTGCTGCACTTTTGCGACAATGTCCACAATATGTTTTTCATTGTCGTGAGGACAAAGCGCGTCCAGAATCTGCCTGGTTGGGTGCAATAAAAACTGGAAGCGGTAACTCCATTTTACTTTCATCACCGCACGTGTTATCCAGACATGTCCGGTTCTTTTGCATCGTACGGCGCGCGCGGCCGCTATTCAGCGTGCGTTAAAATGGTGAAAAATTTGTTGGAAAAGGTTGTTGACTCTCCTGGTTCATTGAAAAAAAGGCGGACAGGTACCTATCTGGTCCTCGCAGCCCGGCCTGCAATCTCGTTCCGGGCGCGAGGAAGATCGATAGCGCGACGCGGCGGCCAGATTGGAAAATAACCTGTGTCCTACGCGCGCTATCTGCCCACGTGCGCCGCCGTGTGTTTCGAATATATCCTATTACCTAACACACACTCTCTAGGCATCCTGCGTAGAGAGCAATTGAGATCGCGTGACAGACGGCCGTCTCTATCCGGTCGAGCGAGACGAGACGAAGCGGGACGAGGTGACGCGACACGACGCGACGCGACGCGACAGACGAGACGAGACGCGACGCGACGCGACGCGATGCAACGGAGATCGGTATACGACCGGACACTTTTTAATCACGCATTACGGCCACCATAAATCTCTCCGTTATCATACTGGACGCACTGCCCAAGGATCATATTTCATTGCGTAAGACGCATAATATGATGCATAATACGTTTCTTCCGCATGAGAGCGAGAATGGAGGAGACGATATCGCTCGCAATTTACCGTCGCGGTATTGACGCGATTTTCCGAAGCATTCGCGGAAAATTCGACCTCAAGATCCGACCTCGTTTATTCATTCCTTTATTTATCCCGATATTACGTCAGTCTGCCTGTTCGCGACCACAACGACCTAGCTTCTCGACTACTTCTCCACGTAGTAATTGCAGCTCGACTTGCGATCTAATCAGCGCAATAATCCGTTCATCAGCACTCACCGTTCGACTGTTGAACGAATTTTCCTCTCGTGACCACTTCATCAACGATAGAGGTTTGTCTCACGGTTGTCTCTTTCGAGTATTTACATGGACCGACTG